TCGCGTATAGCCCGAATTTCGTGGGATTTTTGCGTCGGTGCACACGGATGCACAGATACTTTTGACGATAACACTTCGCTGATTTATCGTCGTTGTTCTGGCTTTTGTTTGCTGTTAAGGATCGATTTCTATGGAAATTTGCGTGCCATTGGTAGTTCACTGAATCACGAAAGATGAAACATTTGTGCTCTCGATTCCTGTTTCATCTGTTTTCGATGGCTGTTTGTTCTTATGGTTTAGTGCCACGAAACGGTGTTGAAATTCTCTGATTTTGTTTTAGTGCATAAACATAAGAATTTCATAAAGCAAAGAGGTGTTGAGCTATTAAAATAATATCAGGATTTAATGATATTTTAAATACAGAGCAAGTATGTTTAAATTGAAGCATGTCGATTTGTAAATTTTTTATTTGTGGATTCCATACGTTTCAATATTAAAAAATTGCACAATTCAATATAACATAAAATAACATAAAATGAGAAAGGTACGCAAAGTTTTAAAATCCGCATCGAAATTAATAATTACAGGATTAGAAAAGAATTTAATGGAAATTTCGAAAATCTAAACAAGTATTACAAAAATGTTATCGTCGGAGATGAATTTAATATTAGCCTGTTTTCACTTTGTACGCTGTTTTCGGTTCGAAAGGAATTGGGTTATGGCAGGGGTATAAATTGCATCGAGATCGTTCTCAATTTTTGAAGATGGCACAGATTATTTGCGAAACGACGGTCAGTCGAATTTTCTCTAAAAACGGCATCTCAGGAATTTCAGACAATAACTCGTCGGAGCAGCGGCAATTTCGAAGGCGAATAACTTCTCGCTTCAAGGATATCGAAATCGCAAAAACCGTGATGGTAAACTGCAGCTCGATCGTGCCTCTTCACGAGCAATTTAGTCGAAAATGAAATTTTCTTAATTAAAACTGAAATAAGCTTTCTGTTTGTCGGTGTTCTCAAACGAGTTCCTACGATTCTTCATAATCCTCCTATCTTTCTATTAAACCAATATCGCCCCGTAGTGCGCAGAAAAAACTACCGTATTTGAACTTTTCAATATAAACTAAAGTACGAGAGATAATCTAAATTGAAATTTCATTCAAATTCCGTGCGATGGAATTTTTTTATTAAAAATACGAGTGATAAAACGGCCGTTCGATCGTCCATAAAATGGCAATTATACACCGTGATAAATTACCCCCGCGCAATATTCTATTCCATACCCGACAAACTTGAAACGCTGACATTTCTTTGCTATTGTAGATGCAACAATGCCCCAAGCAGAAAATTCGTTTGCAAAAATTGATTAATCGATTTTCGGATGTGAAACGTTACGTCTGATAGAACAATTTGAACTCTGTCAGATTGAGCCATTTATTTTGCAAGTGATCTAAGTTCATTTATCAGTTGTTGCTAACTGCAGTAACCTGTACCACTTTTGTACCAAATTGGTACAAAAAGTTGAACTTTCTGTACCAACTTTTATAAAGAACATTTTGCGATTTAATATATTCAGCGTGTCAGATAATTTCGAACACATTAATTGTTAATAATAGCACAAATTCTTAGATATTTCAATTTAAATATCAACGGGCTTGGGCCACTTTGAAAATAAACGATACAATTAACAGATTGAAATATTCGCTATTATTTTAAACATCACCGTATTCAAAAATGTGTACACTGTTCCGCTGTACTTTTTTAATTGGATTTCTTCTCAAATTGAACTCTGGAATTAATAAAAATGATATCGTGAGCATAGCGAACGGGGTATTATTTTATTTGACTTTAATATCCTCTCAACTTTTCGATACGAGATATTATCACGGAATCTCGGTATGTAAATAGAATAATAGCGGAATCACGCGTCACGATGAAATTTTTATCTTCTTTGCTTTGGGAGAAGTCTTCTATAACTTTAAAATTATTTTTGAAACGAATAAATTTAATTTAATATGTACTTTAGATAGTGTGTTTCTTTTATTCACTTTAAGAGGAAACAAACGAAATATGATCTGCTTGTGTAACTTTAGTTATTGCAATGAAAATAGGTATATTTACATATGTGTATGTATGTTCAATATATTCAGATACATACATAAGTGCATATGGACTTATTATATTTGTCAAAGATATTTCGAGTCAATTTTGAAATTTGATGTTTAGAAATAATTTCGGGGTAGTTACATTAACTTAATATTTTAGGATTAACATTAAAAATATGAGAAATGACAAAAAAAAAGCAAAATGGCAATTTGAATATTTATAAGTGAAGAGACTCGAAGCTTTTGAACTTTCACATTTCGTAATTAGAAAATTTGATAATTTAAAAAATCAGAAACTTGATGGTTTGAAAATTTAGCGTATTGAAGATTTTGTAGTGTAGAGGTATAGAAATGTGAATTTAGGAATTTGAAAATTGATGTATTTGAAGACCGTCATAATTGAAAAGTCAGAAGATGTAATAGATTCACCAATATCAAATATACGACCAATTATTAAAAATATAAAAATACAATAAAATAAATAATAATTATTGTACAGTCGCACACTGCATTTTCTACGAAACCAAAAAACATATTTGAGCTACCCTCATATCACTCTGGCGATAAATTCTACCATTCACCTGTGCAAGAGTTAACTAAAGTACTTCTGTGAACCGCCATTTCGTTCATCACAAAAGCTTTCATTAAAAGATTAAAACTCTCGATATTCAAGAGCTAATAGTTGTCACAGAGCATAATAAGAGTCAGGAAAGAAGCATAATTTCAACCCTAGTGGAAGATAAAATCCTCTCGTGTGATTTTCCCCTTATCCATTTCTTTCTTCTCGTTGCACGCATATCAAGGCTGCAGTAACCATATCGAGCTACGGGTGACACCATATTAATGTCGACTAAAGTTTAAAGCACCTTCGAGACTGAATTGTTCTTCCATCCTCGTTCACCATGCAGCTCGATGCCTCTCTTGTGCCCGCCATTGTTATCCGCGACCCTTGTTCCTGTGTTCTTTTCCTTCGTATCTTCGAACAGCACCCTCGAAAAGCGAATTAACAGCGAAAAAGCCTGGATACTATTTGCCGACACGTTTCACGATACTCTGTGATACAATTTTTCGATTACTAACAAACGAACTTTGAAACTTTAAACCGTTGACCCAACAACTGTGGTATTGAATCGCGCTGCTGTAGGATTGCCGTTTGTCTGCGACTATGAGAGAGATGGAACGGGGATTGCACGTTTATTAACGAGGGGTGCACGGGAACTTCGATTTTTGTTGAAATTTTGTAGATTTATCGAGAGCTAGCGCACAACATTTTATCTCTGTTTCTGTTTTAATCAATTGTTTCAATAACGTTGCTGACGTAACGGTCGCATTTGGTTTGGGCAAATATTGGTGGCTATCGTAAGGATTGATCAGCTTGATTTGTTTAAACGATCGCACATTCGAGGGGATTTATTTTTCATATGAACGTTTTGAAATCGGAGTTGTTTTATGGAGACAAACTTTGAATACAGTGCGTATTTTATGTTGTAGGTAAAATGTACTTAATCTCATACTTTTGTTTATATATTACTATAGTAATTTAAGCATTTCTGTGGTAATTTTAGGTTAGTTAAATTAGGTTATATAAGATATGTATGTATTATAAATAAAGTACTGGGTGTAATACTTGTGTCTATAATTTTAGAGTAATAAAGTTAGGTTATGTATAATACACACATGATCATCAATCAACTTAACATAAAATCTAATCTGATTTAGTCTAATATAATCTAATTTAATTCAGTCCACTGTGATCTAATTTAACCTAACACAATTTATATAAAATATATTTCATCTTATAGATAACCTTACACATACATGTTGTTACACATATGGTGGTCAAAAATACATAGGCTATAGCATATGCGACTGACTAGTGTATATTTGTTTGATCATATATGAACATATGTGCTAAAATATTTTTTTATTAAAGAAACAAGTTACTGAAATAATTCTGTTTTTATTTGATGTATAAATAGATAAATAGATATATACGAAAAGGAATTAACAACGAAACCTAATTAAAAATATCATATTGGAGTTGTAATAATCATATGATCTTCTCAGTAATATATCCATATAACAATCCTAAAATAATTACTACTTAAAATAAAGACATTAAGAACTTATGACATTGCTAGAAGAGAAAGTGAAATTTCAGTAGCATGAAGCATTATTGTTAACATGCTCATTTCACGGAAATTTATCATGGAATTAATGGACAGTACATTGAAACGTACAGCTGCTACTGTTGTACAGGTAGTTCCGTATTGGGTATGGAAACACGTGTGTTTGTCAAAGAAGCATTTAATGCTTCCCTGCACATCATGTAATAATATAGCAGCCAATTATGCATTTTGGTCTAGCCATGCTTACATGGTGAGTTACAATGGCACTAAATATTGTCACATAATTGTGTTGAAACGCGTGATTTATTTCGTATGAATCTATACAATATGCTTCGAATATTCCATGAAGATAATTATCTGAAGGTACATCACGCGAGAAATCAATAGAACTTCACGTTTGAAAGGATTTACGTCTCTAAACTGATATATCTATTTAGTATCATAGATGGTATAATAAATTCTAATTTACTATAACAAATTCTAATTCTAATCTACATAATTAATTGTTTTTATTCTTATGAAACATTTCATTATTTTTACATTTAATTACTTTGTATGTTATTTTCATATTTTATTTTGCAATATGAATTTTTATAGAAGTCGTAAGTTATATACAGTTTTCTGAAATTACATTAGAAATTGAAGGACTAATAAGTCTTTTGTTCTAACCTTAACGTTATAGTTTTAATATTTGAAGAATATACAAACAAGTTCGAAATTGTTTAAAAACTGTTTTCTAGTATATTGTTTCATATTCGTAAATTCTTAGATTAAGATGACATCGAATCTTATCGTAAAGTGAGCGGATCTTCTGAATGACGTGTTAGTACTCACTGTTGCAGACGGTGGTGGAGGTATGTCACAAGAAGAGGCAATGCAAGTTTAACACCAGTCCAAAGACCTTTCAAGGCGATCCGTGTCCTGGACTTCCGAAGTATATTGAGGTCGCCTACAAATGCCGTCCCTGTAAGTAACTATTCCTTTATTTCATATATTTTATATATATTAACACTATGCTATCAATTGTCACACTTGTGTGGCGCTATAACACATATGGAGAACATCATATCACATATGAATAATGATGGAATACTTATTCACCACTTAACGTCACACATGTGTGGTGTTACATAGTACTTATAAAGCTCGTGACATTACATGTGTGGTACTATAACACATGTTTAGAACGTAACATATGTTTAAGGCTACACTATCTATCTAAAATGTAACATTACACATGGGTGATGCTGTAATACCTATTTGAACGAAACGTCACATATGTGTAATTCTACACTATGTATCCAAAATGTAACATTACGTGTGTAACATTATGTAACATTATGTGTGATGCTGTACTGCCTACCTGAACGTGATATTACATATGTGTAACGCTACACTATCTATCAAAATGTAATATTATACATGTGTGATGCTATACTATCTATCTGAACGTGATATCACATATGTGTAACGCTAAACTTTCTATCCAAAATGTAACATTATACATACATGTGTGATGTTATACTACATATCCGAACGTGATATTACATATGTGTAACGCTACACTATCTATCAAAATGTAATATTATACATGTGTGATGCTATAATATCTATCTGAACGTGATATCACATATGTGTAACACTAAACTTTCTATCTAAAATGTAACATTATACATACATGTGTGATGCTAGACTACATATCTAAACGTGATATTACATATGTGTAACGCTACACTATCTATCCAAAATGTAACATTACACATGTATGACGCTGTAATACCTATAACAATCCAAACACAACGTCGCATATGAGTCACATTAGATGCAATATTTTAATAGTTTACGTATAAAATCATATAATGCATCATGAAATATTAACAAATTTTGATGCATAAATTGTGAGAAGCGATTTTTTCCTTAAATGACGATTATAAATATATTAAATAAGACTTTAATTATTCATACCATTTTGAATTTTAATTGCGTTAATGTATTTTTAAAGCTGATCGTTTTTAAATTTCACAATTTTGAGTCCTGACTTGAAGAGGACTGAAATTGTTACTTAATTGTGCCCATCTTTTTCGATCCCTGGTTCCAGAATTAAATCAAATGATAGATTAAATAATTTTTTACCTAATTACTACATGCAATTCACCTAACTAAACAATATTTCTCAGATTTTACTTTTATAGAAAAACGAAAAATTGTGTCTTGAAATCGAAACAAACTAAAGGTTAAAATGTCTAAAAATACCTTAATTCGTTTATACTGGAACACGTTCGAGTAATGGAATCGTTCTTGTAAAATGGAAAAATACAGAATCGTAGACCGTATAGAAAAGAAAGAATATGCGTTGTTGCCCGCTTTTTCATGTTCTATTCCGGTTCCTCTTTGTTCCTTTCCGCTGTTTCGAAATACGTACATTTCACTTTTTGAATTTAAAAAGTGTATTCCATGGTTTTCGAGATACACGAAAATCATCATTTTATTCCTCTCTGTAATTTCCTACTGGCAGTTCTCTGTCATTTTCTACTAGAAATTTGATACTAACAATGTTTCTTATATTATTATTCTCAAATTTTAATAAACGCACCGCAATTGTAACAAACGTAAATAATTATACAGACAATAGATCTTTATTATTTATAATTATGTGCAATAGGTCTTTAGAATTATGTGTAAACAATTTTTAAAAGTTTTGATAAATAACACACAAAAATTCAAACTATGTCAATTAAAAGGAGCACCTTAATGCACACACAAATTCTTATTATAAACGAAAAAAGAAATTTATTTTATATTTTGATTTCCATATAAAAATACATGTAAGTATATTCTAACAATCTGATATCAAAAGTGAATATATGGAACTGGAGACCGGTTAATCGTAAAATAATAAAATATCGATTCAATAAAAATTTCATTTGTGCTGTGTACAATAAAAGTATAAATTATGTCATTTAAAAATTTTTTTTTAATTTTCTATCTTTTTCATTATAATTAATTTTCTATTAACTTCATATCAATTTTTACATTTAATGTATGTAAAAATGTAGGAAACAAAATTTTCTTTTAACTGAACGTTCCGTTTAATTATAAACAAGATATTTAAAAAGTCTTAATTTTTACGTAAATATATGCGAAAGAAAAAAAACGTTTATCACTGTACACAAAGCAAACAGTAAAAATACAGCTTCCATTAAATATGAAAATTAGTTAAGTAAACGTCCTTCAGTATTGCGTAAAAAGATTTCTCATTCCGAAATTAATTACACACATGATCGCTTAATGCTTTCTGAGGTACGTTATTCAGAGTTTTGAATTTATTTGTAAAAACTAAAGCTGAAGATTAATTTTCGTTTTATTCTCGTGCAAACGAACAGTAAAGAAGAATATTAAAGTGAATCACTAAGCTTTTGAAACATTTGTATGTCTGTTGTGTATTCTCGTGCAGCGAAAATAAACAAACGATAAAATGTAATCGTGAAACTTCTATTTATTTATCATTAATTTGAACGTACTTTTAATAATACGAGTTGTTGATCTTCAGATTTGGAATTTGGGTATTTGAGAAGTTTATAGTGTAGAGAGTTGTAAATTTTGATATTTGGGAATTTGGGAATGAAGTATTGTATATAGTATTTGTCGATTTAAGAATTTACGGAGTTGGAAATCGGAAATTTTTGAAATGGGAAATTGTATATTTGAGAATTTGGGAATTTGAAAATTGGAAATTTGGGAATATAAAAATTGGAAAAATAAGAAATTTGCAAAATAGAAAATTGGACAACTGGAAATTTGGAAAAATTGGAAGAAACGAGGAAATGGGAAAATTGGAAAATTAGAAGATTGGAAAATTGAGAAAGTGGAAAATTAAGAATTGGGGAATTTCGGAATTTGATAATTTGAGAAATTGAGAAATTGAAAAATTAGAGAATTGGGGAATTGGAAACTTGAAAAAATAGGAAAATTGCAAATTAGAAAATTAGAAAATTAGAAAATTAGAAAATTAGAAAATTAGAAAATTAGAAAATTGGAAAAATTTGAAAAAATGAAAAAATGGGAAAATTAGAAAATTAGAAGATTGAAAAATTGAGAAAGTGGAAAATTAGGAATTCGGGAATTTGGGAAATTGAGAAATTGGGGAATTGGGGAATTGAGAAGTTGGGAAATTGGAAAAATAGGAAAATTGCAAATTAGAAAATTGGAAAAGTGTAAAACTGGAAAGTGGGAAAAGTGGAAAATTGGAATATTGGAAAATTGGGAAACTTTGTTGAAACTTCAGAAATTTTTCGTCTGTCCTTCACTTTATTCTCCCAAAATAAAATAGTAGATCAAATATAACTCCACTCAGAAAAAACCGCCGGAAATTTATTAAACAAATTCTCGAATCTGTTCACATCATCATTTCTCCGATTTCCTGCAAATTTTTTCGTTCCCCTAATTCACAACTCCGTCACCACAGTAGAATTAGCAAAAACTGGGTCATAAAAAAATGCAGTTGGACCTTTGTCAAAGTTGGAAAAAGCAGTGATAGAAATGGTCAAGGTGCATTGTGAGGTGCACACATGAGCGTAGCTGGAGATCTCTCTTCGAGACCAGGTCGTTTTTCCTCGCGGCACTTATCGATGCCTTTTTACGGGGATGTCGAACATTAGCCCAGTTCAGTGACTGGCCGAGATATCGATGTAGCTCGAGGAAGATTCTTTGCTCGCGTTACAGTAAATGCGACGACGAAACGAGAAAAATTCCTGGCTGATCCGTTGATGAACATCGTCGATGGTTCATCTTTTTTGAAAAACGAATGAAACGGAAAATGATAGGTTCTTTGACAATTTGTCGATTTGCTCTTTTTAAGACCTGTGATTTACTGAAGGAATAATACCTAATGTGTTTAGAACAGTTTGTGTCGAAATGAACATCCTTAGACAAGGCGGAGTCGAGATATTTATTTTGAATACATTTTTGGAAAAATAAAGCGAATGATAACAATGAATAAAATTTAATATATTTTCATCTGTAGGCAATCTATAGTGAAAATAATTGCAACTCTAATATTTGGGTGATGGTTTAGGTGATTGGAAAGATTTTGAAAGTAGTGCAAGTTCATAGGTTAAAATTATTTTTAACCAAAAATATTTTGCCTTTAGAAGAAATATGTAATTTTAGCAGATATTTAAAAATAATAGTTTTCAGCAGTTCTTTTATCATTAATAATGGTAATTCAGATGTACAGTTTGAGTGAAATATTTTGTATAATATAGGACACACGTGGTGCGTCTTTGTATTGAATACATAACAGGACGCATCTGGTGCGTCTTCGATTCCACCGAGAGGACGGTATGGAATGGATACTATGTATTCTAAGTTGTGTTGCATACATAGCATAGGAAGCGTATGAGACATATTTGAATGCATTAAATGCATACCATAGAATACTATTGAACAGTGACGGGTAGCTGGTTCCACGAATTTAAATTAGAAAATTTAAAAGTTGGACAATTTATGAATGTGGAAATTTGAGAATTTGAAATGTCTATACTTTAATTCTACTGAATTTATAAATGTTCAATGTTTCGAATTTTTTAATTTTTAAATAGTGAACATTTCCAAATTTCTATATTTCTTAAATATCTAAGTTTCTTAACCTTCTTAAATTTTTAAGTTTATCAATTTCTAAATTTCTAAATTTTCAAATTGACTACTAAATTTATAAATTTCGAAGTTCGTAAGATTAAGCTTATAAAAGATGCAAAATTAGAAAATGAGAAAATTTAAAAATGTAAAAATTGAATATATTTATGCATCACTTACAGTTAATATATCACACATACATATAGGGAGCTTCAATTGCATTTATCCAAATTTTATTATCAAGTGTAATTATAAAAATACAAGAAATATTTCTAAACTTTTTGAAAATGTATTTCAAAATATAGGATCGATTATTAGTTCCTTTATTCTCG